TTAGGGGTTTAGGGTTCAGGGTGTCGAAACGTCAAGCCTTTGACCGCAGACTGCCCCAAGTCCTCCCTTGGGTGTTTTCTAGAAGCTTATTATACGGTTTATCTATACAAGATTCTAGGGCACGATCCTTGTTTTGGGGGGTGTGGTGGGAATTTTCCCTAAACCCTCAACCCAAAAACCATATAAGCTCTAAGCCCTAAACCCCTAAACCCCTAACGTCCTAAACCCAGGTATGCCATCTCGGAGGAGGACCAGCCTTGACCGGTGCTTTCTTGGGCTGGTAGCTGAGGGCCGAAGGACGAAGGGAGGGTTTAGGGTGCACCGGTACCCGCCGAAAAGACCTACGTTTTTAGGGTTCCTTTTTATGGTTTCTAAATATAGTATAGTTCCCTAAAAGAAGTAAGTCTTTTGTGCCACAGGTAGGTTTTAGGGTTATTCCTGGAAACTATATAGGGTAGTTCTCTCAGTTAGGGTCCCTGTTTCTTTTGGGTGCTGTGCTGTATTGGGACCTAAAAGGGACCGTAATTTAGAGAACTACCCATACAGGGTTTAGGGTTAAGGGTTTAGGGGGAAAGAAGCGTTATAGGGCTTAGGGTTGAGGGGCTACTATAACTTTCACAGCAAGGCTAGTATACGGGCTGTAAGGGCTACTATAAGATGGCTACCTGCACCCTCCATCGACCCTCTATTTTTTTAACCTATATACGCATTATTTGAGACCCTTTTAACCCCTGTTTGAAGGTAGAAGGAGGGTCCTGGTATAGACTAAATGTGACACCCTAAGCCCTAAACCCTGAACCCTAAGCCCTGATGGGGTGTTCTCTTTTCTTTTGCTGGCGGTAAGTCCAGTTCTGATGCAAGCCTGAAAGACAGGCCGGGTGCGAGAGTCAAACCTAAGTCCTAAGCCCTAAATGCTAAACCTATCACCCGAAGCCGTTTTCTGACCGCCGGAAGGCATCAGTCTGCTGGGGAGCTGGAGCTGAAAGTGCTAGGTTTAGGCTTTAGGCTTTAGGCGGTTTTGGGGTTTGGGGGTTTGGGGTTTTGGGGTTTGGGTTTAGACTTTAGGGTTTAGGCGGTTTAGGGTTTTGGGGTTTAGGGTTTGGGTTGCTCTGAACGTCTCGGCATCTCTCTGCATTTGCTCCGCATTATAGGCGCCTGGGTAATTAGCAATCAAACCCGAAAGCTCTTGCCAATTATTACCGCCCCATGGTTGTGCCTCATTTTGTTGGGGTTTCAGGCAACAAGCACTGAACTTACACCTTAAACCCTTTAGCGCAAACTTGCATGAAGCCTCAAACCCAAACCCTCATCCACCCCTAAACCCTAAACCCTAAACCCTAAAGAGGACGGGCAGGAGGTGGGGGCCCAAGAAGCTTGTGGCGCCTGTCCGTTCGAACAGCGATGGCTCCTGAAGCTGGTCGCCACAGGGTTCAGGGTTCAGAAGTTTAGGGTCGAATCTTTAGGGGCTTTAGGGCTTCAGGGGTTTAGGGTTTAGGAGTTTGGGGGTTTGGGGGTTTAGCTCTCCAGGGAGTATGGCGGCATATTCTTCCGGCAGAGCTTTCTTTTGATGGGACCCCTCATCTTCCGCAAATTTGCGCCCTTCGCCACACCCAAATCCTACATCCCTTCCAGCCTCAACCCTAACCCCCTTGCTCATTCGCACCATGCCCTAAACCCCTAAACCCCTAAGCCCCTAAACCCCTAAACCCCAAACCCCTAAACTGAACTTAACAGGTCCCGGCGAGTCAACTCTGGCCCTTCAAGATTGGCGTGCTAGGGTTTTAGGGTTTAGGGTTTTGTGCTTTCAGGGTTTAGGGGTTTAGGGTTTAGGGGGTTAGGGTTTAGGATTCCGCAACCATGAAGCTATGTGGGTAGTTCTCTAAATTAGGGTCCCTTGTGAGGTACCCAAAATAGTATGGCACCACTATATAAAGAAGCCTAAAAGGGACCCGAATTTAAAGAATTGCCCATGTCCGCACCATTCTTCTACATGCATTGCTCCAAAGGCAGCAGGATCCATTCCCAAAGCCCTAAGCCCCTTGATACCTCTACACCGAAAAGTCCGAAAGCCATAAGCTCCAAAAAATCGCAGACCGTAAGGCCATAGACACCCGAAAAAATAGGATTCCCTCTATGAGGCTTATCCATTACACAAGGCACACCTTCAACCCTAAACCCCGAAACCTCAAACCCTAAAGCTTAAACCCTAAACCCTAACCCTACCACCCGAGACCTCAACCCCTTAGGGGCCGCTTTCTGAGGTCTGGCGCCATCCCGGCAGCGAGGACGCCACCTTCTCCACAGCGACCTCCGCAGCAGTGGGCTCAGTGCGCGCCCACGAAAACGTACAGAAACGCCAGGTTGAAGAGCTCGATCGCATGTGAGGCCCTTTGTAATTCCGCCCCTCGACATAAGACAACAAAAAACGTATGTATAGAACGATATACCCGTGGGGCTCGCCGTTGAGCATGCAGGGTTGAAGGTTCATGTTCATTGCAGGGAGTTGGGTTTCGGACTTCAGGGTTTGTCGGGTCTGGGGGTCCGATTGTATTTTTTTTTTTTGTCGGGTTTAGGGTTTAGGGTTTACCCATAGACCCCTAGGTAGCTCCTTTTTATGGTTTATGTCCAGAATCCTATAAGGTAATCCCAAAAAGGAACTACTTAGGGGGGCTATGGGTAAGGGGCTTCGCACTTAAGGGTAGACATGTCGGGCCATGCAGCGCTCTGTCCTAAGCCCCATAGAACTCGTAGAGGCCCCTTATAGAACCCTGCCCTTGCAGAAGGCCCTTGAAACCCAGGCCTTAAAGGCCCTAAAGTTTTGAAAGAGCCATGAGGTCCAAGCCCCAAAGATCTCATGGAGACACAATGCCTAGGCCTAGACCCTAGGCCCTAAACCCTGGGGCAGCTTGTTTGGAGTAGTAAGCCTAGACCAGGCTCTAACCTTAAAGCAAAACTCCTACACCCTGACTCCCTAAACCCTAAACCCTAAATCCCTAACCCACACCCTAAAACCCTAACGCTTAAACCCCTAAGCCCTAGGCCCCGCGAGCTCCTGAAGAGCCGTGAGGTTGGCCCTGACAGCCGCCTCTACAACGCTTTCAATGTCGGGAAGGGCTCAGCGGTCGAAGGCCGGAGCTGGGCCGTGGCGAGGTTTTCGTTTGTCGGGGTTTTCGGTTGGGATTAGGGTTTTAGGGTTGAGGGTTTGGGGTTTTCGGTTTTGGGTTTTAGGGTTTGGGATTTTATTGTTTAGGTGTTCGGGGTTTTCGGTTGTTTTTGGTTGTAGGGGTTTAGGAGTTTGAATTGGGATATCGGTGGTTCGGGTATAGGGGTTTAGGGGCTTAGGGGTTTAGAGCTGCAGTGTTTAGTGTTCAGGGTTTATGGTTTCAGGGTTAATGGTTCAGGCTTTAGGGTTTCAGGCAGTGACACGACTTCAGTGAACCATCATGTTTATGTCAGTTTAGTTTCATTACCTACAGCCTTGGTAAGTTATCAACATCAGAATCATGTCAACGCATAACAGCAATTGCAGTATGTAACTGGTTTCGATGTTTAGCATGTGTTGCTGCTTTATTGTCCTATCTAGTTATCCAGTCTGCTTTTGTTTATTTTATGTGGCTTCGTATAATGGCATGACTAAAATTTTAGTCGGTTTTGCAGTTTCTGTTTGTGCTGTTGTTTACTTTGTTTTTATTTTGTTTACCAAGTCTAGTTACATCTGAAGCATGTAGAAGCACGATGGTGGTCGTCGCTAGATGTTCATCACTACGTGTTTGCTAAAGTATTATGCTACGGCCGTTTTAAGAGCGACGGTCAGGGCTGGTCATGCAACTTTGATGTTCTCGCTATGTGTTGTACAAGTTATCGTCATCGTCGTGTTTGGGGTGCACGAGTGTGTGTGTGTGTGTGGAGGGCCGAGAGGAGTTTCAGGATCTGCACTCACAGGACTACGTTCCACTACACCCTAAACTAGACTCGAGGCGTTCAGCTCCAGTCACCAGTCGAACTTGTGCGGCGTTTTTTGGCGGCACAGTGCCTGTGCCTCTGAGCCCTGCCCTTGCTGTACGTCTTGAAGCCGGAGGCATGCGAAACCCATACCATGCACGGACAGCCTTGACAGCCTGAGTCGCCTCACCACAAGATCAGATCATCAGTCGTTCGCAATGTTTTCGAACGGTCCCTTCAGGTTCATCGCCCATAGCATAGGCATAGTACGCCTCGTCTGGCTATGTAACGCTCAACACTGCATGCATGACACCCTCCCGGCCGGAAATGTGGCAAGGCGTGCTTCGGAGCCACGACCTGAAATTCGGAGACATCGTTTGGGCGAAGTCCTTCACAGAAGGTGCGGCCCCAAATACATGAACAGCGAATCCCACAACCCTGAAGACGTGAGCCTTAAACCGAGCCCTCACTCCAAAATGTTGGCACCTGCGTCCGGACGTCAAGTCTTAAACTGCGTGCTCCTAAGGAGTGATGTTCGATTTTTAATTTATAAGCCTTAAGGAATCATGAAAAGTATTATGTTCATTTTAGGTTTAAGGGCTTACTGCAAACTCTGCTGGCTAACCCCCTGTTCACTTTCTTGACGCAGAGTCGTAGTATGGAAAAACACAAGTGGCATCTAGTTGCATCCTGACATATTGTCCCCAAGCCCTAAAACCGCCGGCCCTGTGGTTGACTTGCTGGTCCCCATGGCATGTATAGTCCTTTAGGGTTCCGGGATTAGGTTTTTTTTTTGATCTCCACTGGCATAATGTTTGGGTTTATGATGGGGATGCTATAGTTATAATAACAGAGCACCTGACTTCACATGAGGTTGAGCATTGTGGCCGGTTTTCTCGTACTATTGAAAATGATCTAGGGCTTAGGGTGCTCGATTTCTTCCGAGGCGCATGTCTGGTAGCTGGAGGTATATGTGCATCAGGCCTCTTTCATCGTTGAGAAATCCAAGACCTTCCAAAACCCTTCAATTAAGGAATATGCAACATATTTAAAAATATGAGGGATCCGATTATGCATGATTTAAGGTATATCAATTAATTAAGGGTTTTTGTAAGGTCTGGGAAATTATATCAGGAATCTTAAGTGGGAGCACAAGGTCAGTGATACCTGCATGAATGAGCAGAAAGGCCCACTCCTTTGACCCTAAACGTGGAACCCTACACTCCGCAAGCCTGAACAAACACCATTCAGGGCGTAGGGCTATGTACTGCTTCGGCTTTAGAGTTTATGCACTTGTCGGGATGAGGAGTTTCTAAACCCTAAGCCCTAAATCCTAAACCCTAAACCCAAGCCCTAAACCCTAAACCCTTAAACCCTAAACCCTAAACGGCCCTAAACCCAAACCCCAAACCCTACACGCATAGGAGTTTTAGGAAGGGCCCCCAGGCCTTGCAACAGGGAGCCTCGGCAGGCATTAACGCAGCACCGGCCGTGGGGCCCATGGGACCCCAGAACCGCACCACCGTCATCGTTGGGGTCGGCAACAACCCGTCCCGTGGATGAGATACGTGGATCTGGGTGCAGGGTTTTGGGGTTTCGACTTAGGTGGAGGTTTTTATCGTTCGCTGTAAATTTGTGTTCTTTCAGTTTTGTCGGAGCTTTGCTGAATAGCAGCTCTTTGCAGTTTGCCTTGGCCGCTTGCTCCAAAGCACAGCACAAGGGCGTCTTTGCAAGCTGTACAGGTTTGGTTCACTGGTTCTGGCAAGCTTCAGGGATTTGTTATTAGGGTTTAGGGTTAAGGGATTTCGGGGCTTTGGGTTTAGGGGTTTAGGGTCTAGTGGTCTAGGGCTTCGCATTCCTTCCAGGACGCGGTGGGCGGGGTGTTTTTGGTCCTCAGCAGCACACCCAGGAAACCTGAACCTGAAAGCGATGGTTTAGAGTTTAGAGCTTAGGGCTGAAACCCAGACCTGAAAGCCCTTGGAAATTTAAGCTATCACCGTCGAAACCTATGCTTGCTTCGACGCCCTATCAAGCCTACACATTCAATGGAGAAACCCAAACGCCCCGAAGAACTGACGCTTCTGACATCCTCGTGCCCCACCCCCCTACCAAGGGTGGGCGTGAAGCTTCGACTTGGACTTGGCGTTAACGTTCATGTTCGGGTTTACAGAAGAGTTCTCCAATAAGTAGGAGCTTTTTCCTCTCAAATTGCCTGAGGGGTTGGAACGAAGGTTGGTAGCCTTGGGTTTCGAGGTTTGGGATTCATTGCTTGTTGGTTCACTACTAGTGCAATAAAGATAATAGTAGTTTGAATGCAATAACAATCACAATATTGATACCGAGGTCTACAGCAACGGCGCTGGGACAGCCTTATAATTCCATTTTTAGCATCGAAAAAAGCACACATCCTAGAAGAGCCATGTAAAAGCCTCTCTGCAAAAGCCCTTAACCCTTAACCCAACAAATCCGTTTCAACAGCGTGAAAATCTACAAGCATTCCAAAGAATCCAGGGAGTGCCTGCCGGAGCCGGTCATCGGCACGACGAAGCGGGCCAAGCTCTACGCACGCCCCCGAGGGACGACGGCTTCCATAAGGGCTCGATAAGTCTTAGTGCTTGACCTTAACCCCTACCTTAAGCTACCATAACCTACTGGCTTGTAGGTTCTTATGATAAACCCTAATATGGAATTTATAGGGACCCTACAAAAAAGTAGGTTTGGGTAGGTTAAGGTAGACCCTTAACCCTAAACCGTCACACCAGTGTGTAGCATGTAGGGGCTTGGGATTTGGGGCGGGAGGTTTGGGTTTTCGCTTGGGGCTTCGGATTGAGGGTTGAGGTTGGGGGGACTGCATACTACTACTACTACTACTACTACTTCTTCTTCTACTACGACGACTACTACTACTACTACTACTGCTACTACTACTCCTGCTGCTACTACTACTACTACTACCACCACTACTACGACGACGACGACTACTACTACTACCGTTGTTACGTCTAAAAGAAAACCTGCAAATCTCATGCTATAGGCAGCAAAAACCCTGCCCGAACCGCAAGCTCTGTTTTCCAATTCCTAAAAGCCTAAACCCTTCAGGCCAAAACCCTAGACCATCACAGGTTCGTCAAAGAGTCCTTTCGTAATCCTTATAGAAACCCATAAAAACCCAGCAAGACTTAGAAAACCAAAAAAAGCCCAGCCTCAGGCCTTAGACGCCGAGACAGGCAACACTCTGTGGAGCTTCACTGCTCCGGCCCCTCGGCTCTGTCATGGGGTTTAGGGTTTAGGGTTGAGTGTTCTTCTACACTACCGCTAAGACGACGCAGAAGTCATATCTGTTAACGACATGTGCGCAGACTCAATGAATTTTCGAAGAAGCCAGAACCCGCCAAATTTAAGCCGCCCCTCATGCCCACGGTCTCACCTTTTTCTGCCGAAGTAGGCAAGGGACTTTTGATATGGTTCTTTTCATTGCTGCACGGTTATTTTGGTTGTATGGTGTTGTTATCCTTATTTGTTGTTGGTAATGCTAGTGGCAGCGATTTTGAAGGCTAGCCCCAGTTTCAGAGCGTACTTGTATGTATACATACACATATAATATAGTATAATATGATAATATGATATATAATATAATATAATATAATATAATATACTATAGTACAATATAATATAATATAATATAATATAATTATAATATAATATA